AGACAAAATATCAAACGGTTAGGAAGCAAGGCATTAGGAAATGCTGTATACAAGGTTCATGCTTGAGAAACACAAAGGCACAGATGTAGCCACTAAGAAAATTCCACTGGACATTAAGTTACAGTAATTTAGATCTGTTCATTTAGGGTAAGTCAGCCATTTTACTGTTGACCTACTTTGTATCAGCAATAATTTGTCACAGTGCATTCTCCAACTGCTACTGAAAGAAAGGTTGAAACCATACATTAAGAGCATAGTGTCAAAGCAACTGATGTTAATTATACCCTGCAACTCCTATGTTGATGAAATTGTCACTGCTAACCATTAATACAGCATTTACTGTCTAAGCCCGGCTTGCTCTACCAACCCTTGAAAGCCACTGAATTAACATCCTGCTTCACAATGTTCACTTTATGCCACTTTGGAATGTAAATCTGAAACGTGTAAAAATAACCTCTGCTATTACACCAAGAATGTGTAAATATACATTCCTTTTTAGGAGAGCTATTTATCTCCAGTCTATACATGTTTCACTCTTTAAACTAAAAACAGCTTTAATGTTCTTCAGTCAAGTGGCAACTTTTGCCAATATAAACTATTTTCCCTAAAAATTATGGCATCAAGTAGAGGAAACTTTGGAGAATGTAGAGTGCTACTTGATTTATGGAAATTCAGAAATAAGCTTTACATAGATACACAAAAAAAGAAAAGCAGCAATGTTCTTCATTTTATTCATTGCTAACCTGCACAATAACAAGGGATCATACTCTCCCAGCATAAGTAAGCAAGGTTAATTAGAAGGACACCTTATGTGGATCCAGTGTTCATGTTCAGCGACAGCTGCTTAATTTGGTGACAGAAATGTTTACAAGCATCAGCAAGAACCAACCACTCCAGGAGCATTAACTGGATTCTTCATGGTTTGCACATCAGTAAACTGTTTTGTAAGGTCCTACTGCTGCAGTACAGTTCCCCCTGCTTCTGATTCATCTCTCAAGCTACTCTTTCCCCCAGTTGAATTGCAGGCAGTTGAGAGCATTCAAGCTTAACAATATTTAGCCTTCAAACTTGTCATCACTAGCTACGACACGAGACAGCACAACTTGATCTTCTGATCCAAGAAGACTCTTCAGTGATGAATAGGACTTTTTTATCCTATGAACTGATTCAATATGAGATACAACAGAAGTAGAAGCCAGTGATGGTATTCTCACATCAGAAGAGTGTCTCACGTAGGTTATTTCCAAATTCTCATGTAGACTGACAGAACAAACTCATAATAAGAAAATCCTGTAGCACGATGAGGCCTGTCATACAGATCTACCAGAAAATGTTTGCAGAGTCAGCAGAAAAGTAGAAAACTAAAATCAGCACTATCAGTAATTGAATGAAAGCCCTCACAATCTCTGTTGAGACCCAGGAATGACCCTAAAATCTACAGGAAGGAAAAGATCATGGTCCAAATGACTGCTTAAGCCAGTTGTACATCTCCAGAATAAGCAGGAAAAAAAACACACAACTGCAAAGAGAACAGAAGAACAGAGCTTCTTACAGGATACGTATAATACAACTCTCTATAGGAGGAGCATCGTTACGGATCTGATACCACATGTAGCACAGTGGGGGAACATGCTGTGAGAAAAAGAAACATTTGCTCACCTGGCATAAACTAGAAGGCGATCGTACACTTTATGAAGACATTCACAGAATGGTCAACAAGTCTTAGCAGACTGGTCTGTCAGTCTAAGCAGAGCTGTAACATTAAAGCCTTGCACAGCTGAGCCTGCCCTCAGAATACCAACAGAACAACAGGATTATTCAGTGCTTCACAAAGAAAGTCAAACTAATTTAACTAGCGTGCACTGGGTAAGCAGGTCTTGAATGTGCTCTCTCAACTCTAATATTTGTGCTAAAATGAAAGCCTTGCTGGTTTTCATAATGGCAACTTAAATGAAATTCAAAAGTGACAAGCATTTAGCTTAGTGCATTGTTTGTTCTACCTGCACCAAACCACAGGATTGGCAACAGCCTCCTCTCGCAGACATACTCCGTTTCTCTCAGGAGTCCTTCCTATGCCCTGCTGCCACAGCACGCCTACGTACTTTCAAAATCAGACAAGGGCACATTGTGTATACATTGGGGTATATTTAAATTCTAGCTGGAAGAAATCCCAACAACTCTGAGGACACAGGTTGTACCAATTACTAGTTACAGCTGCAGTTAAAAATTATGCCATGAATGAAAGCACCCTACCATAAAAGGACCAAAATGTTAACCGTCTAAGGGAGCAGGCTCATTCTCGGTTCAGTGTCACATGCCAGCCTTGCAGACGGAATACTTGCTGCCACACAAAGCTATGCTTAACTTCTCCAAAAGAAACTACCAGCAGCTGATGCTTCCATAATTTGCACACATCAAAGGCCAACGACACAGCTACCCGTTCTAATGCTGTTCTTGCCATGCAGCAGAAAACACTACAGGCAGCACCACGATATACCAAGCACAGCTAAGTCAGCAGCAAGCCTCATGAAAGTTTAATATAGCTTCACAGGAAGCCAAGCTCAATGTTTTTCTTTCTATTTGGATATCCTTATGCTGTCTGCGGGCATGTAACACAACGGAAATATCTTCGAGTACTCCTATTGCTTGAATAAATCTCTTGCTTACAGACTTAACTTGACAGCGTCATCTTAAAAGTAGCAGAATTTTTAAGGTATCAAGATGTGAACCTACGCTTTGACTCTACGCATGAATAACACCTGAACTTTAAAGAAAGCTCCTTCTGAAGCTTTGAGGATAGATATGTTATTGACAGCTCCAGACACCGTATAAGCTCTTTAAAGTTCACTGCTTCAGGAGCACTCGTGTTTCCACCACTGTATGCCAGAAAGTCATAGTATTGGAGAAGCCCTAGCAATAAAGCACTGAATGGTGACATACATATGCAAATCATTGTAAAATAGCTATTCGTAAAGCTGAACTTTCAAAAAAGTGGGAAACTGGTAAAAAAAAGCTAGACAGTTCAGTCTTAGGTTTTGCTTTATGTATAATCAGTTATATTACAGAAAACAAAGAATTGAACCGAAGATGCAACACATCACTATTGCCACATTGTGAAGGCTCATAGTCGAGCAGGAGCTGCCACATCACATGGCAAGTCAAGCTCAGTTCTACCCATAGCTAGCAAGTTTACTTGGCAAGTAATGATTGTTTTCCTTCAGAGCAACAGCAGCAGTTCTGAAGTGACCAAGTTGAGTAGGCCTTTTATTCAACACTCACATAAAGTACACAGGAGATAAGGAACAGAAAGTTCTTGGATTTTACTCCATCACTTTAACAAGTGTAAATAAAGTGGTAAGGAATCTGTCTCAAGTGTAACTAACCACTCTGCCATACACAAATGACCCAAGTGTGGTGCTTAAGTGAATCACATCTCTATATCATTCATTAGCTTTGAATACACATAAGTATGGGCTTCTCTGTTCGCCTCAACCAGCCTTTTAAGTTTGGGAAAAAAGATCTACATACCTTTTGTTGAATCCCATCTTAATGATTTCTAAAGTGAAAGTCTTGCATCTGAAGAAAGCAAAAGGCGAGCAACCTTTCTGTAGAGTGGTTAACCTGCTCTTAAGGCTAAGGGACACTTGCCCCAGAAACTCTTATTGAGCAGAGAATCCATCAGGGAAGAACTGAGAACTTGTGAGCAAGTAGGTCAGAAATGGACATTTAGGTTTGCTATATCCTTCATCGGGCAGCCAAGTACACTTCAATCCTCTGGATTTATTCAAGTCACCACTGGTGGATGTTATTTCTGTACCTTTTCCTCATATCCTGGAATTATTGGCCCTGGAGTTATTTCCACACCGATTTGATTTTAAAAGGTTTGAAGTGACATGTACATCATTGTGTTTCCCTAAACTTCCTGTTCATATACGAGGTCTTCATTAATCCATGCCTGCACCAAGTGTTCCCTAGCATCGGCATGCCACTGATGTTCTTAAGCCTTTATAGTACCTATTTCACTTCCACTGTGAGACAAAAATAGTTTAACTGATCCTATGTAATCACGACAAGAGATTAATTAAAATGCCAAGATAGGAAACAATTTATTATAGAGAGAAGAAAAATTTCTCATCCAAAATATAGAAATCTGTACAACTTTGCCACAATCAATATACATGAACTGTACAAATTTACACCAGTTCATAATTTACCAAATAAAAGATGACTAACAAAGTTCACAAAATAGATGGTGGTTTGTGGAAAAGACTTTTACCCAATTAAGAACAAGGAAATTACAAACCAGACCTCCACTTTCTAAAAATAAGAAGTTTACTCAGTCTTAGAAAACTACAAGCTAGCAAATGTACAGATAGCTGGCTGGTGCTAACACCACAGTTCAGACAGTGTCTTTATATGGTCTTTTCAAAGCCTGTTGCCATGGCAGATTCTGATCACTTGCTACTTTCGAGGCCAATGTAAAGATCTGACCATTTCCCCAGGTCATACTTACTGGTTTATCTTATGTACATTTATACATATTTGTAAGTGCTAGGTAAAAGTCTGAAAAACAAAATTTCCAGTACAATGGTGTTCATAACAGTAAGTCTTGTTACTGAGCTGCCAAAAATGCTAACAATTAATAAATGTAATAGTGCAAATTTACTCTGCAAGATCTACTGCAGAGAATCACTTTATAAATACAGATTGGGGTTGAAAATTGGTATAGAAATTAAGATGTCTTGGAGAAACTGACCCTTCCTAGATCATCTTCACTCCCTAGCAAGTTGCAATCATTTTGACTCACAGGCTATTAAATCACTGAAAGGTACTGTCCAAACTATGGCACTGTCACTTTAAAGTATACCACTCTAACGTGCGCCAGATCTTCACAGCTGTGACATGGTTTAAATTCCATAATCCATCCCCAGAGGTGCCCACCCAAAGTAAAAAACAAATTTATCCATCCATTTTAAGGTGATCCATCCACAGACTATATCTTAACCCGATACAGTCATCATATTGTAGCTTTTGGAAGGGCTAGTTCTGCCCAAGAGAAGTTCCTCCTTACAGCTTATTCTGCTGTCTACCATCTGCATGTTGGTGTTATTTTGGCTACCTCCTGCTGGTGCAGCTTCATACAGCACACAGATGGAGCCATCCTCTCCAATACGATAGGACACTTCATACGGGTCAACCCATAGAGTGAGTTCGCTCGGAAGAAGCTGGAACAGTTCCTGACTGCTCAATCCAATCCGCTGTGCTGCCTGTCCAATGAGAGGATCCATTTTGTGGTTGATTCGGATACATCGGTAACCTGATCCCTTGCACGGCTTTTCTGGGAACCAGTGGTGTTTATAATGTTCTATAAAATAAAAAACAAAAAATATTATCCCCTTTAATTCTGTATTCAAAAAGATGTACAGTGATCATCGTTGTCTCGCGACTTTCACACTTCAAGACATTGAGATACTTAAAAATTTAGAATTAAATCCTTAAAGCATTTATTTTTGCTCATTATTTACACAAGCGCAGTGTCCCTTGGGAAGTACTCGTGTACAAAGTTGCTGTTCCGTGCCACCACAAACAGAGAACAATGTTTGCCATCTGAAAGGGTGAAACGCAACTTCCTGGCATTCACAGAAACAAATATTTAAAGAGCGATTACATACACTGCAGAAAAACGCAAGGGCTTCAAAACCCCACAAACCAAGAAGGAACACGGCACCTTTCCAGCATCCTCCCGAGATCACACCCGCGCTTAGTTCCTCACATTCTAAGAACACCCAAAAATAACCAGGGAAGGAGCTGGGCAGCGTTTGCCGCCTGACTCAAGCTGCCTTTCACCACCGCTCTT